CATCATGCAGAGCAACACAGAGCTAAAACACACTGTTAGCATCATGTGTAGAGTAACACAGAGCTAAAACACACTGTTAGTATCATGCAGAGCAACAACAAGCTAAAACAGAACCCGGAAGTTCTGTTACCGGTTGAAACCACCACAAATAAATAATAGTTTAAAACACTTATGGCACCGACTTTGACAGTATATATGAACCCTGTGCCAGTGCTACAGTGGGATGGCCACGCAACAGGACAAGGAGACGGACACGCCAGTTTGACCTGCTAGCTTGAAGCTACAACATTTTCCACGCTCTCACACCCATAACGAACAACACTAGCACATGTGTACAAAACAAAAAGAAAAACAAACCTTATGCCACTTCCTGGAAGCTCTAAAGCAGGGGCTTTACCCCTGGATATTGCGTTTAATAGTTCGTATTAGCCCCAAACGGTTCTCCTCTGTTAAAGGTTCAATTAACAGCTTCCGGGTCATAAGGAGAGTGTAGTTTAGCCCAGAGTTTAGACTAACGGTTAATTTTCCGTTGATGTTGGAGGCGGGGGTACGATAGGTTTATGTATTTACACACTTTTGTAGTTGCTTTGCCTTGTTAAAATAAACCATTATACAAATAAAGTCACTCTAAATTAAGTCAATAATACGTTGGGGCTTGTGACGCGCATTCATTTTGAACCTGACAGACAAAATTCAGGGTTCTAATTTTTCATTTAATACACATCGCAAAGCAACCTGGGAAAAAAGATTGTTGTAAACATGGCGGCCGCTATGGGCAGACTTCTGTCCTTCAATAGGAATGCTAAAGTGCTCGTTTCGTCTTTGAGGTTTACTGCTGTGCCAGTACGTCGTTACGGTTTAGAGGTGTCTGGTACCGGAGAGGCTATCACTCACACCGGACAGGTAGGCTAATGGCTGTTTATTTTATAACCGATAGCCTAGCTAAATGCTAACCTTAGCCTAGAATCGGCGGTACCAACAGCTCCATTATCCTTTTTCGCGATTTGACATTTGTGTCAACATTCGACTCTTAGTTGGAAACGCTAAATATGTTAAATAAAAATCATTTTAAAAAATAGATCAGCATTGTTTGCTGCGCAAGTAATATCTTAAAGGTATGCTTTTGTTTTATTTCAGGTGTTTGATGAAAGCGACCCAAGGAGAGCCAGGTTCGTCGGTAGAAAGAAAGAGGTGAGAAGAAAAAAATATTTTAAAATGGGGCCAAAAGTTTCAGTCTCCTGAAACTTTTCATGTCTTGTCTTTGACATTAAGTCTTGTAAAACACGACTGCAGTTTGCTTAGGTCACGTGACCTCTATTTCTATCTATCTATCTATCTATCTATCTATCTATCTATCTTTCTATCTATCTATCTATATGTTGTTTTTTTGTTGTTACATTTAAAACAAGCGGATACGAGCTGCTTGAACACAATCTGAGGATTAAAATACAGAGAGAGATAACCAACTACAGCCCATTAGGAAACCAACAGGTGATTCGCAGATAGGCGGAGGTTGTGTCATCATGTGGGCCAGCTTTGGTTCTGTAAGATGGTTGTAGATATGTTGAAATCTGATAAAATACCACAGAATGTAAACCTGTCATAAATGCCTTGTTCAGTGGCATATTCAGGACAATTCACATTATTTCAACACTTTTATTGTTGTTGATATGTTTTTGTTTTTGATCACTTTCTGTTTTATTAAGGTCAATGAAAACTTTGCCATTAAGCTAGTGGCCGAAGAGCCCATCACGGATGCTGAGGCCCGTATTGTCTCCTGTGATGGAGGTGGAGGAGCTCTTGGACATCCCAAAGTCTACATCAACTTGGTAATAGGACATCAAATGTTTACAATAATTTAAAAATAGCACATGTTCTGGAGGGCTGTGTAGCTGGTAGTGTGCAGGAGTTGGTGAATGTCTATTCCTGTTTCTATATCTCCTTATCCATGAAGGGTTTGTGTATTTATATTAAAGAATATACATTTGATATGAATATAAACCTTTAGAAATCACAGGCTTTCCCTGGACACTGATTAAGATGTTAAATTCATGGCAAAATACGGTGAAGTGCTGGCTCAAATAATTATTCCAATTCAACAAACTTTATTAGTCACCATAAGGGAATTTAAAGAGGAAGATTAGGTTTTTTGTGACATAAATGTGAATACGGTTCTGTGACTTCAGTCACTGCCATAAGTTATTATTTTTCCAAGAAAAGCAGCCTTTTTAAGTCATTCAAATGGCATTGTATGTGTACCCATGTATTTTATTTACTTTTTTTTTATCAACAGTGAGTGTACAGCTCATAAATAAAGCTCTGGGACACTTAATGTTTAGTTTCCATTTGCTAGAGGGGGGGAAAGTCCATTTGACATGTTTTTTAAGCTTATTGTTATTATACTTAATCCGTTCCACAAACAATGTGCACATTTTAAAGCTGCTTGGTAGGTTTTAGAACTCATTTTAGAGCCAGTTTCTCCAGAACAGCATCATTTATCACCATGGATGTCGTTTATCTGAACGGGAATCTGCATACGTGAACCTCAGCTTAGTGTCTAAAGAGGTTAACGTCACAGCTTTTCTGTACGTCTACAAATGTGTCTTAGGATACTAGAGGAAATCTGCTTTTCAGTGTATATTCAACAGAAATACATCAGAGCTAACCAAGCCATCGTTTTTGTCTCCTTTCAGGATAAAGACACAAAAGTGGGCACGTGTGGCTACTGTGGGCTGCAGTTTAAGCAGAAGCATCATCACTGAAACCTTTCCTCTGTCTGCTTCTCTGTATAAATAGCCATATTGGTTAATAAATTATGTCTGCTTGGGAGTGTATGTTTTCTTTACCAAAAAAAAAAAAATCAAACCACACACAGAAACAACAGCGTTTGCTCAATGCTGGCTTTTATATAAATGATCCCGAACACTACAGTATAGCAGTCATACTGATAGTTTGTAGTTTTTGTGTGTAATTCCCACCACATGGGATGCAGTTCCTGCCTGTGACAGAGAGAGGGCAGCACTATCCTGCTAATACCCAAAAGACAGACAGCTAACCTTTCTAAGGTTTGCCTTTAAGAATCTAAACGATTAAGGTTTTTTTTTTCCGGCTTTTGATTGGTGTGAAATCGGTACAAAAAAAGTGACCGAGTGGTCAGTACTATCCTGCAAATACTCAAAAGACAGACAGCTAATCTTTCTGATGTTTGCCTTTAAGAATCTAATGGTTATGTTTTTTTGGGTTTTTTTTTTTTATTGGTGTAAAATCAGTTAGAAAAAAATTGACCAAGTGGTCAACACTATCCTGCAAATACTTAAAAGACAGACCTCTAATCTTTCTGATGTTTGCCTTTAAGAACGGTAAAAAAAATGTTTTATTTTTTATTTTTTTATGCTTGGTATGAAATCAGTAAAAAACAGAAAAGAAAAATTTTAAATATTTCTGTGCACTTTCAAAGCTTTTTTTTGCAACTTGTTGACTGGAGTTTAATTTATTATTTATCTATTTTCTTTTGTTTTTTTTATTGATCTATATCCGTCTGAATAAGTGAGGTGCTAGAGGATAGGACCAGTGTGAACCTGCTCCATTCTGCTCTATTAACACTCGGAGATCCTCCATCCTACTGGTCGTCTCCTCTCCACAACCTGGAACATCTTGGGGAGCCTGATAAGACACAGCGGAGCGGAACAATACACGTTTGAAGAGGATCGCATATATATTTCATCAGGCCGGCTCTCTGCAGACCTCTGCATGCCAAATTGGCCCGCGCCCCGTTTGGGTTTCAGACGCCGACAGGCCGCTTTCTCCCCACTGGAACCGCCTTTTCCACTCCACGGGGCTCAGGTCGGGGGGGTTGTCAGGCTGATATAATTGGCCCTGGCGACTCCTGGAAGTGGGGTTCACAATGTAGTTACAGTGGGGGAAATAAGTATTTGACCCCTTGCTGATTTTGCAGGTTTGCCCACTTACAAAGAATGCTTATTGTTCCTCATCAGATGGTTATCAATTTTTATGAATTCATATGATTTGATTTTCTGGAATTTTCTTTGGGATTCTGTCTTTCACTGTTAGAATGTACATATGATTAAAGTTATAGATCGTTGCATTCTTTGTAAGTGGGCAAACCTGCAAAATCAGCAAGGGGTCAAATACTTATTTCCCCCACTGTAACTTCATCCACAATCAGACGGCGGTGGAAGGAGTAGCATTGTCACTCTGCATAGTGTTATTTATAACTTCATAACTTCTACCATAATCATTAGTATCAATATCATTGACTGCCAGCCATTTTCAGAACGGAGTCCCATACTGCCAGAGTTTTTTGAGCATTTTGACTGATTGTTCAAGAGCCACAGAATAGTTTGTGCTATGACTATGTAAACACCGAACACACCAAAAGAAACAGTAGACTCTCTTCTTTCATCAGGAAAATTTTTTTGTTTCTACCTTATTCCGTTCTTCCTGGACTTGCGTCTCACCGGCGACATGTTCTCTCATAGAACCGTTACCTTTTTCTTATTTGCCTACAGTCTATGCTCATCTCCCATCAAAAGTGGCACTGCCCCCTAGAGGGTCAATTTGTTACTACATACTCTGTCTAGAAGCCCATATTTACGGACAAGATTTAGCAGATCGTCCCCCAGCCACTCTCGTTGAATAACATAAAAGACGTCTATAGACGTCTTTGGCAGCCAATGAGTTAATATCATTGCCATTTTTCATCCAGTCTACGTGTTGCTGTGTTGGCTGCCTCTCTCTGCCCTCTCTCTCTCTTGCCCTCTCCACCCTGAGCCATGGTTCTGCTCCAGGTTTCTGCCTGTTAAAAGGAAGTTTTTCCTTGCCTGTGTCGCCTAGTGCTTGCTCATGGTGGGAATTGTTGGGTTTCTGTAATTAACTTCAGAGTAGGGTCTGACCTGCTCTGTTTGGAAAGCGCTGTGAGACGACTGTTGTTGTGATGTGGCGCTATATAAATAAAATTGAATTGAATTTAATTGAATTGTCAGGGGGAGGCGTGATAGCCGGGTCGGTTTCAGAGAAATGGCCGTCTGGGTTTGCGGTCAGCCGGTCTTTTCTGGCTTGGAGGTGGCGGTTGGTTGGGTTGGAGGCGATGCCACGGGCAAAATCTTCAGATGAAACTGAGCATATGAACTGTGCTAAATTAAGCGGCACGGTGCTTTTACTGGGTCTGACTGCTCTTTTTAATTATTCACCGGCCTTAAACGCATCACCCAGAATAATATAATATCCTTCAACATCGCACACGTCAAGTAACTCCAGGTTGTAAAGGTGGGTTTAACCAATTTGCAGCAGTTCCCTCTTCAAATTAGCTCACTGTATCCAGTTATCCCTTTTTCTCTCTGCATATTATTTAATAGTAATTGCAAATACACCTTGAAATCACAGCGTGACCTGCCCTGGCCGGTCAAATTATTCAAAGATGAGCTCAAATGAGACTAATCACATTCAAACCGTTTCCAACATTGAGCCCCTCAGAAGGTAACGGCGTTAAATGCCACTGGGCTCCTTAATGCAGCATCCCTCCACAACAATCACTCACTCCACCAAAAAACAGCTTCCTCCTCGCCGTAATTGCCCTATTAGAATATTTCTCCTTTAAGAAGTGTCACATCGCGGACCCCGAGGCTCATTATGGAGCTCCCCGCAGCCAATTATCTGAGCTTGGATGTCTGGGACCAAAAACCGAAGGATCTCGGGCAGATCTGGGATCAGCCGCCCCCCTTCTCAAATCCAACCCGACTACATGAGAGGGAAATCAGAAAACTGACCTTTGGTCATTGTTTTTGAGGCGACTCCACTCGGCTCCACTTTGGTCAGGTGACAGAGCCTCTGACCTTTAGCGTGGAAATAATGACTTGTTCTTGGT